AGCCGCCCAGGGCTCTGGCCATGGCAGCTCAAATCTCTGGAATGCACCAACCCCAGCACTCGCCGGCTTTTCTACTGCGCTTCGCAACCTTCTTCGACGGCTCGTTGAACAGGTCTGCATGGGATTTAAGTTGAAAGAAAAGATAAACGGGGTAAACGATGAGAAGGAGGACGAATGTTCCTGGAGTATGAACATCAGCACTCCGGCTTCAAAAACTGAGGCTTGGTCATGTCGCATGAGAACATGCCTCGCGACACAGAAGATGTCGTCACAGAATCTTCGTCTGAAGGTATCGTCACAGAAGATGTCGTCTTTGCGTGTCCATTATTCGACCGCCAATACAGTGCAGTAGGAACCATTACACTGGCCATAGCCAACGCCAACAGACGATTGCTTGTCTGCGCAACGACGAAGTTTGCGAGAAATGCTGCTCAACGCGATTCATACCGCCAAAAGAAGAAACACATGCCCATTACACCAGCAGCAAATTTAACAGCATGCTCCCAATCAACGAGGTCTGTACGATGACGACTTCGTGCTTGACCAGCTCACAAGGATGGCGACTATCAATTCGACCGCATTACCGAACGATGCATTCAGCAACCCCACCAATCGTCTCTCACCGGTTCGCGTAGCAATTTCCTCGGTCGCATAACTCAGCATTGCAGCAAGCGGGGATGATTGCAACAAAGTTAGTCACGAAGATCACGATCGGATTCGCTTTTTGTCGCGTGTAGCGCGATACCCACAGGTGCCGACAAGGAGAACATTAATCCAAGAATTGAACAGTGTCGCGCGGATTTGACCTCCAAAAGAGAATTTGGGGCCATCAAGGTCCTTCCCACCGCCAACCCCCGATGACTGAAACACTTCGCCGGCAGATCCCAAAATTCCATCGAAATCTCCTTGTTGGCGGCATTGGGTCTCCAGCGTCCTGAGTCATCCACCCTCTGCTGCGCTATGGAGACGTCCGTCTCGCAGTTGATGGATCTTTTGAGAGAATTTCTTCCTGCCTTCAAGCTGCCGGTCCCCTCGGCTGGAAATGTGCATGCAGGGCGGGTCTCGGAAAGTCACCATCCGAAAGCAGGCTTGCTGAGTAGGCTCATCTGGGAGGCGGAGGTCGCCCATGCTCCGTGAGCGCGGGAATTGCTTCTCCTAGTTCGACGGAGATGATGGGGCCTCGTACGTATCTCTTGATGGGATTATAAGTGGAACGTGTGCCATCCTGGTCGTACCATGCCAGTTGTGTACACTGGCGAAGATAGCGGTCTATGGATATTTGTCAGTTTGGAGGACGAACAATGTGGGCCCAATATTCGAAATAAGGGTAGCATCCAGCGAGTGGAAAGACAAACAAACTAGCGATGGGACGTACGCATTTTGATAGACCTAGGAGGGAGTTAGCCTTCTAGATTGAACAAGAAAATGAGCTTCCGGATACCTGGAGATGGCTATCGGAATCTAATGTGATCACAATTGAGTATCAAAGAGTGAAGGTAGGTAGATTTATAGAACATCCTTGAAGCCAAGGAAGCTGATAAGTGAGGCAGAGCCTCCTCGCGGATGCAGCCTTGACATGCCAATAGTTGTGAGGGTTTCAAAGCCGTCCAGCCACACTACCGCTGCAAGGCAGATGTGAGTGGGGGGAGGGGCTGAGTCGAAACTGCAGATGCGCAGCCCGAATGGCGTAGGTCAGGCAGATAGGTGGCGGTCGTCAGCCAGGCCATAGTCCAAGGCAGACAGTGGGGGTCAGGGAGTGGGAACCTGTCCGGTTTCTTAGTCCAGTTCAGCAGTCCTGATCTAACCGAAAACCGTGCAGAAAAGGAAGCCGGTGCAAGCGGGGAGGGGTCTCAGCCAAGGGGGAGGGTAGCCGGGCGTAGTAGTGCTTTCATTTCAGAGAATGGTGCCTCTTTCATGCCCTTGAGGACAGCCCTTCAACTCAGATCACTCCCTGCTCAGATTTCAGTCTTACATTTGCCGTGTTCATCAACAAAGAGTCGGTAGGCACAAGCACTATCACTCTTCACCAGCAACCTGAATCATATGTATTGTGATCAGATGGCCTAACAGCTGGGAATATTTCCGTTGTTCGTTGCCTATCTTGATTTCCCCAAACAGTTCCAGTTTCGGTTATGTGGTCTTAAACCATCGAGTGGAAATGCAAACAACACGCCGACATCGGGTCCATTCTGACAGCTTATACTCTTTGTGTAAGTTATCGGCCTCGTCCTATGGCCTTTGGGCACACAGCCCCAAAAATAGATGGTCTGGAGACTAAGATAGTGGCGCAAGCAAAGCCCCCTCTTTCTTCAGGCCAGGTAGGGGCACGCAAACTGCCTAGGAAGAAAAATATAGAGATCACATCTGGATTCACATTCAATCCTTCGTCGTTACTGACTTTCTCATTTCTAAGAGCTACAAATGCCATCAAACTAAAGACCGGCGTGTTTCAGAGATACTGAAACAAAAGGTCTTTGCCTAAAGTTGACAAAGATGTCCACTGAAAATCTACAGCCACCACATGCGCAAGCCCATCCAACCAAGCCATGGTTGACCTAGCAAGAGTCTAACAAGTAAAATGGATTATTGAAGTACAAGTCGTAGGCCGCGAGTGAGTAGCCATCAGCAAAAGTTTACAAGGATGACGATGGGCAGCAGAGCACGTGCAGTGGCACATACACAGGACAGGCAACAAGAACCTGACTGGGTTCGGGACGAGACAGATCGTACCACGAGCAAAGAAACATAGAGCACTGGTTTTACATCGAAAGGATACTGTAGCAGTGGTGAAGTCAGTCTAGGAATCAGGAACCAAGGAGTAAAAGCATAATTGATTCTCCGAAGGCCTTTTTCATATATCAATAATCTAATTCCGACTGGCTCATCCTCTTCACTCTATCTAGCATAATAACCAAAAATACTGGCCGCTCTCTCCTGCCGATAATTTGCCAGGGTTAATGACTGGCATGACATTGTGACTCGCCCTTTCCGAGTTCCAATTTACCAAGCTTGGTCATTTGTTGATCAGATCAGGCTCAATGCTTGATGTACTACAGCAGAGTCGTTTCAAATCGTTTCACACTGAGGCTGAGGTGATTGAGTTTGCAGCCGCTTGGTTCCCCAGTGCGGAGATGGCCCATCGCTTTGTAAAGCCAGATGCTACCGCGATTTCCCTTCGTCGACGGTACGTTCTCAAGAAAGGCCTTGTGTTGAAGGGACTCCGCACAATGGCACCAGCTTGAGTGCTCAACCTTGGAGCTTGCTGTGCTGGAGGATCAAAAAGAAACTCCTCAGGAAATCATTAAGGGTCTTGCGGAACTCGCGAGACTCTTTGAATTGCGGAACATAGTGGACACCAGAAAACTCAAAAATTCGCGCAAACTGACAGTGTTTGGCAAGACTATGAGAGTCCTCCGCTGTAATGACCGTGTCGTAGGATCCAATCGCTAATAATATTGGCGTACGGATCGTAGGTTCATAGAACTTGTCATAAATAGGTCCTAGCCGGAATCCGCTGAGACAAATCGCGAAACGAAGTGCCGAATGCTCTGTCTGTTTTGAGATTTTTCATAAGTGTGCTGCCATACACCATTGAAGACCGACAAGGGAAGGTAAACATACAACCCATGGCTGATCGTTGAACATGCTTCTCTTCTCAAGATGCGATGCAATAATAGCGGCCATTGCAGCTCCGGATGAGAACCCAACAATGCCTACAAATGGACCTTTTTGGTGTAAAGTCGCAAGGATATGCTGAGTGGACAGCTCGATGTTTGTAATCTCACCGTCACTCGGATCCCCATACCCCCATACCCACTTCTCGTGACCATCAGGTTGATCAGGGCGCGCAGGCAATATTCCCGACAGATATTTGAATTCGAATACGACTTCATTCTCTTGCGCAAAGGAATGGAATGCCGCTTCAATATACCTAGCCTTGGGCTTAAATATTTGTTCCGATTGGTCATGCCCTAGTCCATGGTCAGTCACTACTCAGTCCCTTGGACCGCCTCGAACCAAGTAATCCTCTCACTGACCATGCAACATCAGGATTTTCATCACTTGATCAGGCATACTGATGAAGAAACTGGAAGGCGATATATTCAAAACTGGGTAATGAGGGAACTCCGGTGGCCGAGATTATAAGGCGTTCTCCAGTCACCTACGATGATCAAAGTGATTCTGGTTTGCCTTTAAATATATTTATGTGGCTGCTCGGCTACTAGGTGCCCACTGGAGGGACTAGACAGAATTATTTAATGAATATTCAGAGTGATTCCCCGAGCAGACAATAAAGTGGGTCAGTGAGAATTGCAACGCTGCGCTCTGGGTCTTCTGGATCATATCGATTGTGATTACTTTATGAGATGCAAAGGGTGATCGAAGTCTGGTTCGGGATTTAACTACGACAAATTGTCAAGTTTAGGTAACTATACTTTCTGTAAGATGTCACGGACTCAATCAGCAATTACTCTACACAGAAAGATACGGCTGTACTATAAAGAGATACGTTGGTATCGTCTACAAGAAGTTCCACTCTCTGCTTTGAAGCTCGAATGCAGCCGGCTGTGTGGAACAGTCTGTGTGGGTATAGGCTCATCAAAGTTTATGCGTCGAAGTCTTCCTCAGAATGTATGTATTATTCTCGTTTTATTTATCATAGAATGAGAATCCTCTTTGCTCCAACTTTTGCATAGCTGATGCATACCGTGTTGAAGGCTAGAGATCGCAACTTGGGGCAAAAATTGGGACTCTCATTCAGCGGATGCCTCATCGCTTGCCCAGGTAGGAATAAGATTATTTCTCTTGAGGAAAAAGCCCCGTTCTTTCGAAACAACGCGTGGGTTTACCCTAGCATGTTAAAAAATCCCGGCAAGTAGCCCTTGACGTAGAGATGAGATAAATTCATTCTTCCAAAACATTGTTAATTCACTGCCACACATTCCTTTATGAACAAGCTGACGAAGTTGTGGTGGCTGAAACTGTAGAACGGACTATACTTGTCCCCTGGTTTAGAGCAGAAGGTGAGTGCCTGGGTGGCTGACTTGAAGTGGAGACTGGAATCGGGGACGGAAGGACGCCTTCGAAGCTGAGCAACGTCTCGTCAAGTATTTCAAATTCGATATGGGTATAACCATCATGACAAGCTTCATTGCCTGTGATCTGATCATGAGCCCATTTACTAAGGTCAACACCTGAAGTGCCGTTGGGGTTCCATGTGTCTCCCGAAGTAGAGCCGACACTGCACCGTTCACAACCATCTGCGATAAAAAGGCCGAGATCGAACCTTCTACCGTTTTTGTAGATTATGACCCTTTTACCGCAGTAACGGGATGGGTTGGCCCGCAGCTGAGTAACGTTCATCGCGACGATATGATTAGTTGCCAGATCGTTCAGGGTTAGTAACGGATTGCTACAGGTGACCCCGCCTTTGTTTTGGTTCTCGAAAGAGGTATCACAAGCCCTTACATTCTCAACGTCATAATAGTACGTAGCGAAACCGGGTCGTTTTGCTAGGATAATATCAGATCCAGCAGAAGCCTCCGTTACCACTAGAATGCCTACGATGGCAATAAGAAAAATCCACATCACAATAAGATATCAGTTGTTACCTCGGTCGTCTTAGATGGTAGATTATGAGTTAATGACAAGCACCAAGACCTGGAGTACTGATAATTGCAAGATTTCACAATATATGCAAGGGCTCAATTTGAATGTGAAGTTGGCAGACCCAATTATGTCCAGTGAACGAATTTTGTCAGGCTTGTGCCGCCCGTTATTAGCTTTGATATCTGAAAATAGGTATACTCTTTTAAACCCCAATGACAGGACGAAAGCGGTTGACCAAGACCCTAAGTTCCGAAGAAATGACGCGTCCAGATTCGGCTCTGCTTCCATTGACGCTTAAGACTCTTTCAGCTACCGAATTCTTATGAATGACAGAACACTACCACAACTCTTTGTTTTCTCAGGAAAAGCCAGCCGAGGGCTCTGTATCTCCCCTCCAATTGGATAAAATTCTGTTCAAATACACGACGACTACGGTACCAAGTTATACTGTAGGGATGAAAACAATCAGTTTCCAAGTCTCGGAAATGACCGCTCGTCCCGCTATATTGTTCTTGTTCCTTCTGGTTCCAAACCAACAATCTGTGTTGCCGTCTTTTACTAGGCTTGAAAGCTGATATCATGCATTCGTTGGGCAAGCGTTGATTCTATCTCATCGCAATGTAATGCCGAACAATGCTTTCCAACAAAAGAAATTAGAAGAACAAAAAAAAGTATCACGGAGACTCGTCTACATAGGTGATCAAACTGTCTTCATGTTGTTTCTAAGCTGAGTAACGTGTGATGTGCCGGATCGCCTTACAGATACCTGCAACACATATGGAGATAGATTCATCAAATGGAATTATTATCATATGGAAATATGTGTGTATTATCCCTCTGCCTCTCCAGTTGAATGCTATGAATTCCCAAGTCAATAATACATCGGGTTGATCAAGAGGTGGCTGCGCAAATAGCCATCAACCGGAATAGAGGATAAACTGCGGAACAAGAATCATTTTTAGCTCCAGGGGTTACAGTGTCAATAATGTCTAATCTTAGAAGGCTAACAACTTCAGGCAGTTGTATTGACCGAAGTACTGACATTGATATTCACTTTGCTTCGTGAAAGTCTTGTCTCTGAGGTTTGATTCTGAATACTTCAGGCGATCTGGCTCGTGCATCTGTTACGACAGGTGTTACCACAGATTGTCACAGCTTTGTCACGATCACTACCGTAATGTAATTAGGTGTTGCAGAAATACTTTACTTCTGGAGTCCAAATTTGGCTTTCCTGTCTTTACTTAGTGACACTTTTGAATTCGTTATCTCACGTTACGGCACGGCCTCCGCTGATGATCCTTCCCAATGTACAGTACTAACGTGCGTCCCACCGCAACCGTGTCCCCTCGTACCCGCTCGGGATTGAGGTACTTTTGGAAAACAATGCCAGAGAAATTGAGCAACTGATGGCAGATCATTCAGCTTGATTTAAAATAAAGATTTAATATCTCCATTATAGACTGTTCAATTTTCACCCAAAATTACGTTGATCTTTTGGCGTATTTCATCGCAAATAAACTTCTGTTGCTAACAAGGTTTCTGTGGCAAACTGTGCTCAGCTTCCATGGTACCCAAGCAGCTGTTGTTTACGAAATTAAGGTTATTAATTCTGAGTAAACAGATACCTCCGATCAATAATTACTAGAATTATATACTCTATACATTGTCCACATCTGAAATAATTTTACTCTTTGTTCGCACAAGAAATTTTTAAGGTACATGGTCTGCTTATTAAGGACGGTTTATGTACAGCCATTACATCCAAAGCGTACTGAGCATGTACTGTAAGAATTCTAATTTTAGAGATTTCCTGCCCACGTGCTTGGGCTACTTTGTTGCAGTCATGAGGTAAAGAAAGGGGACTGGGGTAAACCCCAGCTGTCGGCGAAATCCGCAGTCTACGTTACTGAGTTTGAAGATTACATTCACGGGTAACGTGGCCTGGGGAACCCCTTTAGGTTGGTTGGGTGAAATTGCGATGAGGTAGATTGGTCATGTGATATGACAGGTGCAACTGCGTGTTGCTGCGACTATTATAAATACGTAGGATTTCCCAGGGTGGGTTCCTTTGGTTCAAATTCTGAAGACAAGTTATGGGTTCGTCCAGAAGCCATAGTCTACATCACGCCAGTGGGCGTGATGAGACTACGATTGATCACAATGCGGCGTATGAACGCATTGTTGGGAGAGTTCGGGACGATCCTTTGTTAACGGAAATGGCTCCTTCGGAGGCGGATTATGAAAAATTGGCGTCTTATATGACGTCGATGAGTTTTTTAGGATTCATTCCTGAGCATCGTGAACGATGCAGCAAAAGGGTGAAGAGTTTACTCGGTTGTATCGAATTGTTTCGGTTGCGTTTGCGCAGGCGCGAAGTAAGTTTGTTGATTATCTGTTGGATGATTATTCTAATGGTCTACAGTATGCCGATGGCGGCGAGTGAGAAGTGTAGCGGAGTCGGAGAGGACTGAGTCTGAGAAGAAGTTTTACAGGCAACTTGTGTCTAAGTTTGGATGTGAGGCCGATGTTTTGGAAGGTATTTCCAAAGGTCTTGATTTACTAGAGACGCACGGTTACACGTGGTAGGGCATTTTATGGAGATTTTGTATGTAATGGGTTGGTAAAACAGGGAAAGGGGGAGCTCGCTCTGGAGGCAACACGACTGACCCCGACAAGCACGTGGCCAGAATATCTCTAAAATTAGAATTCCTTACATTACACACCCAGTACGCTTTGTATGTAATGGGTTATACAAAACAATCCTTAATAAGCAAAGCAGGTACCCCAAGAACCCCAGGTGTTGATCAATCAATAAAATTTTTCATATGCGGACAATGTAAAGTGTATGTAGATAGTGATCGGAGGAATCAGATTACCAAGATTTATATGTTCATTTTCGTGAACAGCGGTAGGTTGGGGACCATGGAAGCTTAGCACAATTTGCCACGTAAACCTTGTTAGCGAAGGGAACGAAATTTGCAGTGAAATAATCCAACAGATCAACGTAATTTTGAATGAAACTTGAACCGATGTTTATTGAAGGTTATGGAATCTTATTTACAACTGAGCTTAAATGTCTCACAGAAGCTGGTCGACTATGCCGGCGTTGTGTAGCGAAGTACCTCAATCTTGAGCGGGTTCGAGGGGACACGGCTGCGGGGGGATGCACGTTACGTCTCCAAAGCGTGGTGTCGCGAGTTTGTCTTCGACTCGCACCAACTACCTGGCATCTGGCGTGGCCAATGCGCTTAACAGGGCTTTACGGACTTGACAGTTCGTGTAGTCGGTGGGAAGGTATCGGCTGCAAGCGTGTCGGTATTGCATCCCAGTTGGTGCCACCGGGAGGTGTGGAGGCTTAATGAGGAACTGATGGAGAATCATCCACCGCAAAACCGCACTCTTCAATGCCGAGCTACAGGGGGTCAAACACGAGCAGAAGCAGAATCTCCACAAGAAATCAAACCCTTTAGAGCACACCAGCGCCGTCAACGGATCGTGGGTGGTGGTCGCACCCAACCTGGCCAACCCAAACCCATTGCACAGCCACTATTGCGCCGATGACACGAAAATTATAGCCTGTGCAGACACAGATAATAATTGAATAATAATAATAGAAATTACTCTAGTTACGAGCCTCGGATGCGAGTGAGCTGGACCAAAGGGTTGGAGGCTGCAGCCTTAGCCCAAGACTTCCCATTCTTTATTTTCCCGCTCTTCAGGTTACTTGGCTTCGCCAGAGTTTGTTGGTCGTGCCTCGACATTCTGCAGGACATTGAACAATATATCTTTCCTTCTCTTCCTGCTGCCACAAGAATACTCCGACCGATTTGCTCATACCGCACATCGGAAATGGGCTTGGTCTATATCTTGACCTTTTTGGTCATTCTTATCGTTTCCTATACTCTACATGAATCAACATATCATTTCGAACGTGTGGTTGCGAGGGCTATCTTGCCAGATTGTTTCGGAGCTCGATGGTCGCCACGTCCACATCTTTGGGATCTCGACATGAACAAAGAGCGGCAACCAATCCTCCTCACTTTAAAATCCCCCTTTTCATCATTCAAAGTCTACTATCTACCTCCATTAGTGGCATCCGACCGTCACCAAGTGATTGTGGGATTCCCAGGAAACAAGAACAATGTCGGAGCATTAATGGAAAGTTTCTGGTCTTACCATGGAGATGAAGTTCACATGATACTGGTCAACACTCCCGGTTATGGGAGTTTCGATGAAGACCGCTCAGAGCCAATGACCGACAAGCACCACCGTCTCTTAGAGCCATGGCTGAGGGCCATTGTTCAAACTTTGCAACGAGAATTGTTGAGTCCATCTGAGATTCAATGGGCCGAATTTGACCCTCGTGCAGTCATAAAAGAAAACGGTCAGATCCAAATCAAGTCACTCAGAATAGGAGATCTTCCAAAGTCCTTCAATGATTTCGACATTGCGCCGGTAGGCAGATCTTTCGGCGTTTTTGCGGCCTCTATAACGCGCCCACGGGGAGGACTGATTGGCTATACGCCTTTCCAAGGAATTGCAAAGCTGGACTTGGCTGGATGGTGGGGGATCCTTTGGCGCTGGGCTAGACATCGCAATCCGTTTCCAAATTGCGGCAAGCGCGTCATTCTTGATGACCCATCGATCAAACTCACCGATGAGCAACGTCGTTTTATTGAAGATTATGACGGGGAAGTGTTCACGGGATTGATGTCAGAGCTGGTCCCAGACCCTACCAAAGGTGAAGCTTCCCTACTGATCGTTGCGACCAAAGAGAATGTCGTTGGTTCGGTCGAGATGTCTATTCGCAAGGCTCCGGGTGTTACGGTAATCGAACGCAAAGGAAATCACCGCCTTCGAGCAGATAAGGATTACCGGGAATCAGTGAAAAAGTATCTCACCGAGAGCTGGAAAGCTCACCAGGAACGATGGACGAGGCGCATGCCGCCGGTGGAGGTTTGCGGCGATGATCAGTCTCAATGGTCTCCTTTCATCATCCCCTCTTGTCAGCCCCCCTCGTCTTGATCGTCACGAGCTTTGTCTTTGTTTTTTTATTATTTTTCCTTCGTTTATCGTTTGTCGGGAATCTTTGTACTCTATTCATTTCGATAGTAGCTCAACTGCAACTGCTTAGGTGGTTAGGCTCCACGGTGCTCATTCAGTCCACAATAATCCTTTAATCAGACCGCTAATGCATTTTACAGTGTCATTCCTGCCGCGTTCTAGAGCTAGAAGAATAGAACAACCTATTTTCAAAATCTTAAACATCTATTGAAAGTGTACGGTACCGGCTGTTGAATAATGATCTGGATCTCGACCGCGCTATCTGGAAAGGGTCTGATATTGATATCAGCGTCCGATGACAGGGTGGACGGATGGACGGATAACCCATTTACCCACACACCTCGCGGAAGCGTTAGTTCGATCGACTGCCTCAGCATGCGCAATCGATGAAGACGGATTTTCGATTCATCTTCACCGCCAAGATCATTGTAAAGCCTGACATCACTAACGACAAAAGTGGCATCTGAAATCATCTGGGGCTCCTGCTGCAACCATTACTCAACTTTTATTACCGCAGCGATTCTCCGTGGTCTTCGACGACTCGGTTGTAAAGATCTCTGGTACTTTGCAAGGAATCCTCTGGAGTTTTGGCCATTTCCGCTACCTGTGTGATCATTTGCTATCAAGGATCTTTGTACACTCCCTGCGATGCTGGAGCGAGAAATGATTCCTTTCCAGCAGTGTTATTCTATCCTGGTTGACGGATGTTTGCGCCGCCACCCCTGAACAACTCGATGTATTATGAACCCAACCTCTGTGAACCGATTAAATATTCATGATCTAAGAGGCACTCTACTTACCGATAGTCAAGTTCAAATCGGAATCGCAGTCTACGAAATGCGTATTCATAGCCTAAGGGCCTGAGATAGTTGCGGGGTGGCGGCCGCAGAGGTAGTCTGTAATCTCACTCTATTTAACGCAACATCCAGTTCGATAGCTTCATCACGATATAAATTGATAATAATTGGACGCTTTTCTGAGAGGCATACAGAAATCCTTATTGGGTATTATGCAAGCTGTTAAATGCCATTGGGTGCGGACTGTCCCCACAATCCTACTTCAAAACTATAAAGAGAGATGATTTCTACAAGTCGTGCTATCGGGACCATCTCTTTAAACCTTTTATTGCTTGCGACCTGTCCCTTCTCTGCTGCTCTTCAGCCTGTTCCGAATTTTGACTTCCTAGCCTCTCAGAATTCATATTTTCTCTACCTGTCCCCAGACACTAGTTTTCTGCACATCCTCATCAATTTACGAAGTTCACTCTCATAAAGCCGGACCCACGACCAGAATCTGTGAGTTCTCACCAATACGAGTGGTACCACTAATTTCCTCCTTGTATGACTGACACGAGTAAGCATCATGGTTCCAGAAACGACACCTGATGCCACGCACCGTGTTGTGGAGGCCGAGAGAATTACCGATAGGCTTCAGCGGCTTTACAAATGGTTCTTTTTTCTCGCAGCTCTTCTGGGTGTTCTGGCCGTAAATGCCTTGACATTTCCTGAGTTTCATCCGGCCCAAAACGCGCCGGCTCAACTATCCCACGGGCTTCTGTGTAGCGCGCTTGTGACAAGCATCATATCAGTGGTTATCCTGTTGATGCTGCTTTTTGAATTTGATGAGACGGCATCTCCTCCACGAAGCGGACTCCATGTTGCAAGTGTATGGACCCCGGTGGTCCTCTTGGACATGGCTTGCGTCGAGCTTTTGGTTGGTATAGCTTCCTGGTACTGTAGTAGTAGCCCGCGGTGGGCTGGAGAGATGCTTGCAGGATATTTGGTTGTGTTGCTTTGCGTCTGTATTGCTCTTTCTCTGTCAATTGCGTGCAATTGGTCCGTGATGAACAAAACTTATGTCCGTAAAGGAGACTGAGAGGCATCTACTAAGAGATCCTTGAACTCGACGCTTGTGGAATGCAGACCGTCGCAGGAAATTATCATTCACAAAAGGATGTATAGGAATGTGAATATGACTCAAATCAGGAAACATGCGTGCAAAATACATTCGCCCTTATACCGTTCTTTGCTAATTCCACCTTCGAAATATTTGCCTATCTGTTTTCGATAAGTTGTATTTAGAGACGTAAACTTAGCTCTCTTATTTTCATCCTTTTACCAGATATGCCAGCTGGACACCTTTCTCATGGGCGGTTTGAACGACTACGGGGCAGTAAACAAGCCACTTCATGAACAGCTGGCGTTGTTCCAAGGTCTAGAACATCAGCAAAAGAGGCTCCATTGATTCGTGCAATGTAGAATGGCCGTAATGATATAGTCAAACTACTCCTCGGAGCAAGTGAAGTCAAATTAGACTCTTTACATTGACTTGATGGAAAGAAGCCGTTATGTCTACCAGCGCATAGAACGCATGATGAGGTAGTGAAGTGGCTGACCGTGACTGATGGCATTAATATGTCCGCCAGGAATCTTCAGGGACAGACACCGCTGTCTCTAGCTACTGGGAATGATCAAGAGGACATGGTAGGGCATGGGCTCACATTAGATCTTCCATGAAATCAAATGGATTTCACAGCTTTTCGAACACTACTACGGATTTGGAATGGGGTTCGTCATACAAAAAGCCAGGTCCCTACATCTGTATTCTAAGTCTACCGATGGGGATAAAAAAGGTATAGGGGTGAGGTGGGCAGTGCCACCATACACATTTCTTGAATCAGGCAGCATCCAGGGTCATTCTTGGCTTATCAATTAGCTTAAAACTTCATATAAATGAGGA